CAGCCAGGCTCAGCCATATGGGGCTCGCCTTCCCGACAGCTCGGAGGGAAGGACAATGGCGGCTGCAGAGGGGCGCTGGCCCATTTACAGTCGCTGCGTTTCCTGACGTCACGGGCAAACTCCATATCTGATTGTACAAAATGCAATGCAAGGAAGCGGGGCTCTACGCCAGGCTGTGTCCCCTGTGATTGCATACCCTCGAGCTTCACATCACATCGGACAATCAGAGAGGGAAATCCGGTGCCCTCTAAACTTCTTGGGACGTCAGTTAGAAAATCTTTGTAAGATGCCACAAAGAGCAAAAGGTCTTCTGAGAATAGCAGCTAACTGATGCCTATATAATGAAAACTTTTAAAAAATATCACTCAAGATTGCCTGGTTAGCTCAGATGTTTCAGCGTCTGACTCTTGATTTCTACTCCGATCATGATCTCAGGATGGTTCTACTCAGATATCTAGCCCCTTGTGGAGCCCCCCCCCCCACAGCAGGGCGTCTGCTTGAGATTCTTTCCCTCTCCCTCTCCCTCTGTTGCTCCCCACTGTGCTCTCTCTCTATCTCTCCACCTCCCTCTCTTTCTCCTCCTTTCTCAAATAAATAAATCTTTTAAAAAATATATCACTCAAATCACCTATATTGTGGAATGTCAATTTTAGTCCCTTGGCAGAATGTGACCTTCCTAACCAAAGTTATACCTCCAGCACTATGACTGTGCCAAAAATTGGCCATTTCACCTCTAATCCACAATATACTGGGTGGCCACTATGGCTTGAGGAGAAACTCTGACATAGCTACCAGAGTGCTCCCACAATCAAGGGACCTGCTTACTAACCAGTGTCTTCAGTTCTCATAAGAACTCTGTGATTTGGGAAAGAAATGGCAAAACCACCATCTCCAAAATTAGAACATATACAGAAATGAAAATACTTACAGATACAGTTTTAAATCCTTAAACATGTACCATGTTTAAAATTTTCTTATCAATACTTAGATCCTAAAAATACTTTTTTTTTTTAAAGATTTTATTTATTTATTTGACATAGACAACAGTGAGAGAAGGAACACAAGCGGGGGAGTGGGAGAGGGAGAAGCAGGCCTCCTGCCGATTAGAGAGCCCGCTGTGGGGCTCGATCCCAGGACCCCAGGATCATGACCTGAGCCAAAGGCAGACGCTTAATGACTAAGCCACCCAGGCGCCCCTTAGATCCTAAAAATACTTTAAATGCTAATATTGATGAATACTTATAAGAGCTATTTGATGAAAAATATATATTAACCTAATTCTCTAAGAAACCTCCTTAAGGAGAGAAAGGTTATCAATAAAATGGGAAATATTTTAAAATTAAAACTCCAGGGGCGCCTGGGTGGCTCCATCGTTAAGCATCTGCCTTCGGCTCAGGTCATGATCCCAGAGTCCTGGGATCGAGCCCTGCATCGGGCTCCCTGCTCGGTGGGAGGCCTGCTTCTCCCTCTCCCACTCCCCCTGCTTGTGTTCCCTCTCTCGCTGTATCTCTCTCTGTCAAATAAATAAATAAAATCTTTAAAAAAAATAAAATTAAATTAAAACTCCAACACTTTTGGAATTTTTGGTGATACATGCAAACATATTTCTACATGTATGAATGCAAAACAGTTTAACATTTGAACCAAGGAAATTATAAAACCAAACCAATTATAAAAATTGAATCAAACAAAGAAGAATTAAAGAAATAGACGTCATCAATGAGCTATGGTTCCAAATGACCTGGCTTCCACGAGTGTGTCTTATCAAACCTTCAAGGATCAGGTAATTCTACTGCTAATAAAATAGTTCCAGATAATGAAAAAAATCCCTCTTTCTTATTTCAAGAAAATATAATATGATGACAAAACCTATTGAAGAATGTGTGCTAAACAAATTTCTGAGAAGTCCCATTTATAAAGGAGAATACAAAAATTCTACTTCAAATATTATTAATAAGTTTGGTGTCACATTACAGAAAAGACTTTTTAAGTAAGACAAACAGCTTTACTGCTTTTTATAAATAAATAATAATTTATTTATTTAATATATATATAATAAATAATTTATTTATTTAATATATATATTTAATAATATATTTATTTATTATTATTTATAATAAATTACAAACATCAAACTGGGGGAAACATTGTTCATAAAACAAAATACACCATATAGACTTTTTTCAACACGACCCCTACTGTGGAGTTCATTTAAATAAATAACCGAGGATCCAAACACAGTACAGAAATGAGCTAAATCAGGAAGCTCATAAAATAGTGCCCTTTTCAAGCTTCCTAGAACTGAATAACTAATCTAACTAGCTCAGATTTATCCAATTCTATTGTTTTCTGGTCTATACTTTTTGGGGTTTTTTTTAATACTCTTTTGTTTTTTAAAATGCAAAGCTTCAGAACCTGCAGTTATGCCTCATGGGATGATGGGAATATCCAATCAGAGTAGCCCACGCCCCACCCTCCACTGGTTCAGCCAATGAAGGACCTGCAGATCCTGAACCACAGCCATTGGCTCAAAGTGGGAGCAGGTGATAAGTGTGAACCAGTAAGTGTTCCTGGGTGTTCACCCTTAGAGACTGAGGAGGAAAAATATATAACATATTTATATATTTTATTTATTTATATATATATTTAATATTATATATGTTATATATTTTCCTCCCTTGTTTGTTCAGGGCCCTAAATCTCAATCCCTACTACTAGTGGGTTTATTGGGGGAAAACTATGGCTCTGGTTAGACAGGCAAGTGAATCTAGTAACTAGAAGGGTTGCCCCACATTATATATTTAAGAAATGCTGAGGGGCACTTGAGCGGCTCAGTTGGTTAAGCATCCCACTCTGGATCTCAGTTCAGATCTTGAGCTCAGGATCTTGAGTTCTTTGGGCTCCACAATGGGCATGGAGCCTACTTTAAAAAAAAAAAAGAAAAAGAAAAAAGAAATGCTGAGTAAAACTACTCTAGGTGAGCAATTGTTTTTCCCATCTCCTGTCTGTATGAGTACTCACTTAGTAGCTACGTCTTTCACCTGCCACCATGTACCTCTCATCTCAGCCTAACACACTGCTCAAGATAGAATCAATGTTAATGAAACTATTATTAACAGATGCAACTGAACAATGGGTTATTATCCAATCCCAGGTCACCTGACAACGTTCATTCTTTCTGTCAGGCCCTTTGAAATAATCCTAATCTTGTGCAAATGCAGCCTAAATGATATGCAAATACAGAGGTTGCTGAATCTATCATGGATATACAGTATGTTTCTCATATTTACAAATACCAGTGTTGAAAGGAGAGCAAATGTTTTGGATGACAGAATCAGGATGCAAAGAGATCTCATCATGAGCAAACTTGAGCACATCAGCAACCAGGATGTTCCCCATTCATGTAAGTTGGATTCAAAGGATAAGGGAAATGTCATCAGGAGAAGCCCTGGAGTTATAGAGGCAGACATACAACAGCTGACTTCAAATATTTGAGGAGGGACAACTACATTGTTTGGGTCTCCAGGACACAGTCCTAGGACTATTGGATAGAAGCTATAGGAAGGCAGGTTTGGGCACAGTGTAAGCAGCCTGTCACAGCAAGAAGCTGAGTGACTCTGCCAGATAATTACTTCAGGCAAGAGGTAAGGTATTGATGACCAACATGGTTACTTCAAACTCTGAAATCTTCTGGCCTTGTGATTGTGTTACCTAACTGACACTTAATCAGAGTTAACCCAACTACTGTTTTACTTATTGAAGTTTATGTTATTGAAAACAGCTTCCACTTCCTGTAAACCCAGTGATTATTTAAGGATGTCAGCCCTTGGAAGGAGATGGTAAGATAATACTTGAGGTTGCAAATAGGTACAGACAGCATAATCACTTTTTGTAGGAAAATATATGAATATTAATAGACCAGTCTGGATTGTCATACACTCAAATATTGATACTTCTAATTGGTGGGATTATAGGTGATTGGTTCTTATAAATTTTAAGTGATGAAAGTATTGTTTAAGGGCAGGTATCAGAGCTTGCTAATTTATATGTATTCCTTATTGTATTAGTTTGAGTTGCCATAACAAAGTACCATAAACTGGGTGGCTTAAACAAGAGATATTTATTTTCTCACAGTTCTGAAGGATAGAAGTCCCAGAACAAGGTCCTGAAGGCTCAGTTTCTGCTGAGAACTCTCTTCCTGTCTTGCAGATGGCCACTCCCTTGTGTCCTTACATGGCAGGGAGAGCGATCTCTGGTGTTTCTTCCTCTTCTTTTAAAGCCACAGTTCTATCAGATTAGGGCCCCACCCTTAGGACCTCAATTAACCTTAATTACCTCATAAATACCCTATCCCCAGATCCCGTCACATTGGGGGTTAGGGCTTCAACACATGAATTTTTTGGGGGGTGGGGGAGAACAATTTAGTCCATAACACTTATGCTCACCATGAATAACCAATACTTGATTCATTAAATAGTGAATTTTGTTCAGGACAAGGAGACCAAGAGATTCAATGCTGTGGGTCATCAGCAGGTATTAGATTTCTGAGTTTCTGCTCAATAGTAAGATGTGATGTGCTTAGCACAGTGTGTATTAGCATGTGCCTCCTATGCCCTTCTGCATCTATTACCAGCCTTAGGCATCTCCTTCCATTAAATTTAAAAGCACATTTGAGAAAGCAAGACAGCCCAGCTAGAATTCCAGCTGTTATTCACCTTAGATCACCACTTCAGATGTTTTCATTTCTTCATTTCCAAGATAAGGGGGCTAGTCCACATGACCTCTTCTTCTAAGGTCTCGAATTGTATGATTCCAACTCTAAGGAAAAAGCACCTAGCATCACTAAGTCAGGACCCACTGCACCTGGACAGCAGAGAGCCTATCCATGTGAATGATCTGCCAAAGTGTCTTTCCTGCAACCATTTTGTTTGGCTAAAAAGAGTACCCTTGGTACTTCCATTCTTTGGAAGACCACTAGGAATGAATCACAGGAGCCTTAATGTATTGATGTGATTTATTATTTTATTGCCACATTAGAAATGAAAATAAACTGAAAATCTGCAAACCCATGTCCCTTCATGAAGATTATGGAGCAATGGAGACACCCATTGTAGAAGGTGAAAAGTAGCTTATCCTGTAGGGGGTAGAAGAACATCACACACAAAGGTCATCAATGGTGGGATTATGGACAACATCTGCCAGCTGGAGTTTATGCATCAATGGAAAGTTTACAAAATGAACATAAGGGAACACTGGCTACTCCTGACATCTTAGCCAGGGAGTATGGGTGTGAAGCATTAGAAGGTGCCTAAAATCTCTACAAGCACATAGGTTTACAAAAAAAAAAAAGCCCCAAACTGAGACACTCAGGCATTGTTGAAAACTGCTTGTGGGAGGAGATTCCCATCTTATGAAGTTTGAACACACTCTTTCTCCTGCTGGATAGCTGGGGGAAAAAACAAACATAAAAAAATCATTAAGAAGGTTTTTTTTAAGATTAAGTTCAGTTTCTTCCCCAAAAGTACTTTTCCAAGTCACTGAAGGCTGCCATACCTGCTTACAGGGTGTGTGTGTGTGTGTGTGTGTGTGTGTGTGTGTGTGTGTAAACCACCTGAATGTTCATTAGAATCTACATCAACTGCAGGGTTTTTTCCCATTTAAGAGGTAGATCTATGCTGTTGCCATTTTTTCCATATGTTATTTTAAGAATGAAGAGGAACTGAAGCATTTTCTTCAGATTTAGCTATCCCTATACAATTTGAAAGATATACCATTTCAGACAATTTTGATTAACTTTCAAATAATGCTGACATGAAAAAATGTGCCCCTTGGTTTGGAGTTTCTCCAGCAGATTGTAAGTCAGGAGGGCAAAACTGATCCCTTGATCCCTGGGACACCTGACTATACCCAAGAGCTGCACTGGTTCTCCTACCTCATCTTGTCATCAGGTAGAGAAGGCCGAAACCACAAAGTTTATACAGCTCTTTAGGGATGAGATCACAAACCCAAATTGTTAGGTGCATAAAAATGGCAAATAACCAAAAATTGGACAAAACTAAGATGTTTATAATACTGAGTCCAATATCCCAAGATTGGTTTTAATGTGGCTTTTAGTAATTTTTTTCAACAACCAAAAAAACACAGTTTTTAAAAAATTCTCCATTACTACTAGGGCCTATTTTGTGAGAACCACTCATATGAGCCAGGTAAGAAGCAACTATTTGATATTTTTAGATGTTGCATTAAATACATTGGTACTTTAATTATTGTTTACTTTGTGGCAAAATTTACAAGAAGAGTTTATTTACTGAACCTATCAATTTTCACCATTGTTTGTCTCAACTAGAAAGCCCCCATGACTTACTTTCCTTTGAGGGAAGAGTATTTTTTTCTTTAGTATTAGTTTTCTTCAGTTTTGACCTGTCAAACTTCTCCACTTCAGACAAATCTGGCTTATCACTCATCTTGACTAAAAGAAAGACTGAAAAAAAAAACATTTAACAAACCTATCTGGTAGAACTATTATCAGACTAAGGAGTAACAGCCAAAATTCTCACATTTAATATTAATGTGTATTTTACCTGCTGATTTTCAACAGGAAACAAGCAGCAGATCTTAGAAATGTCGTGTTTTTATTAGAATACTTTTTATTCCATGTCATTACCCTATTTCTGATAAGCAGTAAATGCCACTGAATCAGGATGCACCAGAAACCAAGATGCTCTAGAAACTGGAGTCAATATGTCTGACTCTTAAAATCACAGCAAAGGTAAAATGAAGGTGATAGAAACACATGAGCAGATAGGGAGAGAAGAAAAAATATGGACTGGGTTTAACCAGCTGATGAATTTTCACAGGAGATAGCACTATTTGAGCATCTTCACTTTCTAGTCAATTACTTGGGGGGGGGCACTTTTCCTGGGGGATATGAGCAGCACACACACAAAAAAAGGGTGCTTAAAAAATTGTACTAGCTTCTTTCCATTTTATCTGCCCAAAGACAGTAGATTAAGGAGCCACAATAAGAGAGGGAAGGGATTTAATCTGATCATAACTAATTACATGTCTCATACTAGCTCCTTATGGTACTGTTTTGTAAATGCTGTAAGAAGACACAACTAATTAGGATCAGACCAAGGACTTCAGCAGAACAGGGTAAACAAATAGAGTTGATTTTTATTTCACCATATTTTCTCTGCAAAGGGAAAGGTTAGGAGATGAGGTGCCCTGTGACCATTCCGGATTTGTCAACAAGACAATAGGAGACCCCAGAGACCGGAAAACAGAGCTCTCAAGCGCGTGCTTGGTCCCACCCTGGTTGGGGTAAGACAGGTCTAGTGCCCAGAGTAGAATGGAGAGGCCCCCAAGCAGCCAGAAGTCCCGAGTGTGCCTCCCTTCCGTCGAGGTCACCCTAAGACCCTCCTCTGACGAGGGATCAGATGCCAATCTCCAAGGTAGGGAAACAGGGACTAACAGATCATAAAAGGCTGGGCGCGTGGGTCTGTTTGTCAGGAGCGGTTTGCTTACATTTTAAAATAACCATCATCTTTGTTGGGCGCGCAGCCCACCTTTTGGCCACAAAGGGAGAACGCGAAGGGCCTGCCCCAGAGGGCCCATTCCGGGCAGCACCGAAAGTCCTCGTCCTCTCAGCCTCGGGCTTGCAGTCACAGCGGACCGGCCGCTCTGAGGGGCCGCCCCCTCGGGCCTCCCAAGGACCCACCCGGGGAGGACCCGGCAACGCGCAGAAGGCGGCGCCGCAGAAGACAAAGACGCGGACTCTCTAGGAGGCGCAGTTACAAAACGCCAGTCCCGACCCGGCCCCACCGGTTCCCGAGAGACCGACCCCCTCCGCCCCGCAGCCGCTGCGCCCTCCTGTCCCCAAAGTCTTCTGGTTCCGCCGGGACCGCAGGTCCTCACCTGATGGCCTGAAGACGGGTGAAAGGCCGACGGCTGGACCAACGCCACTCCACACACAGGACGACGTTAGCCTTCCCGCGCGGAACGCTGCAGTTGTAGTCGCGGGGCAGTCTCCGCCCCCAGGCCCCGCCCCAGACCCCCCTAGCCATCTCTGATTGGATGAGGGAATCCCAGGCCCGCCTCTTCGCCCCTCCCCACTCCCGCTTTCGTCTTGTAGGCTTGAGCCCGGTGTCTCCCCTCTACTCAGGACCTCTGCCCTGCAAGTGTCTTGATGACTTCATACCGGAGCCGCCTCCCCAGACCCTGTCCAAGCCCTCTCTGATTCTCCGAGGGATCGCCTGCTTGCCTCCCCGGTTTCTCCCACTGTTTTCGTGCTGAGGATCCACTTCCCTCCTTCCCAAGTTTACTCACTCCTCCAAGATAATTGGGGCCTCGATGTAAGCAAACACTTCTTTCTTGCCCAGTTAGCTTCCAACATCTGGAACTGGCTTTTTATAGCCATAGAGCCTAAGTACACTGGGATAACCAAACAATGGTTTGCAAGCAATGCTCAGTGGCATCTGTTCTAATCCTTGGCCAGGTCATGGAGGAGGGAAGCTCACTGAGAGGGTGGGCAGTTCAGAGTCATTCACCCCCACAGCTGAACAGTTCTGTCACAGTGGTGCTCTCCTATGTAAAAGTCACATTTTCAACTTTCTCAGCCACTGAACATGGTAGTAGTCAGTAGGGTAATCACAGGAGGATCTACTGAGGCTATTCATCTCTATCTCCCCAATCCCTAGCACTTTGCTTGGCCCACAGGAGACTAGGTAAGTACCTGTCTATAAATTGAGGTAATACATCCATGATAGAGCAGAAATTTTGGACAGCAGCACCACCCAGTGTCCATGTTGGGGGAGAAAAGTGAGGATCCAGTAGTTACTTGAAAGGACCAAATGTTCGAGGTCACTTTCTGGATACTCACCCAGAACCTTAGAGCATTAAGGTAAGATGGAGATAAGACTGTCTTTAGCTTGTATCCCATATTTGCCATATGGCTCATGTATGGTGGTAAAAATACTCTACATAGATCAGCACCCACTCTTTCCACAAAGATTTCTCAGGCCCTCCCCACCTCTCTCCATTCATTCCCTTTTCTATGCTCTTGTAGCATTTCCTGTTAATTTGAGAGTTTTGTATTTTTGTTGGAGAAACTTTTAAAGCAGAAAGCCACCCTCATTCAACAAATAATATTTATTGAGTACCTATAGTGTCCCAGGCATTAAATATAATAACACCAGTGTTTCTACCACTCAAATTTGAATATTGTTAACATTGAGTATATTTACTCTTTTTTTAAGAATAAAAACAGTAAAGAAAAATGTAGGTTCCCTTGACCCTCACCCCATGTCCACTCACCCTCCACTTCCCCAGGGGTAGTCCTATCCTGAATGTGAAGTATAGTTCCTAGATCATTTTTTTTATCATTACAGATTTATGTGACCTCTGGTCCTAGGAACAATATGGAGCACTGTATGGACCAGTGCTTTAGGTATAAGACTGAACTTCCATTTCACTTGGGGTAAACAGGAAGTCCCAGACACACACACACCCTTCTGTAGCCCAGACTTCAAAATCTATCTTGAATCTAACTGCCTTGAATCCATCAGAACTCATCTAATAATGATGTTTATCCCCATTATTGTTAGCCACCAAAAGAACTCCAAGATCCCCACAACACCCCTCAACTCCTGCGTATTAACCCCCATAAAGCTGTGACCACATCTCCCCTTTAGTTCACTTCTCACACCCCTCTCCTACTCCTAAAACACAATGCACCTTCAGTAATTCCTCTATATCCCCAACCTCTTCTCTGAATGTGCCCATCATTGTCTTCCCCTAACAGAAATCAATCTTTCCTGGGGACTCTGTGTCCCCTGAAGCCCACTCAAGAGGAGCAGATGATTTTTCTCTCCCACCACCATTGTACTGCAGAGCCTGAAGGTCAAGTCTTCCTTGGTCTTCCTTGCTTCTCATTGCTGCCTTTAGACCATTCCTCTCCCACATCCCTGAAAACCTCTAGTTTTTGACGGCTTGTCACCAACTAGCCTTCATTTTTGTTGTCATCTACCAAACTTCATCCCCCACCCCAATTTCTCAAAGGTTTTAGCTCCTGGAGCACAATCACTCTCAATGGTAGTAGTCCCGTCTTTATTCCCAGTGAGCTCAAGAATGATCATTCTGACACACTGACTCCTTCAGTTCCTTGAACATTTCTCTTTTGTGACATTGTCCTTGACCCCACCTCAGCTACACACTCACATGGCTATACCCTAGGCCTTGTCATAGCAATTTTAGCAACCCCTCTGTAATATCAATTTCAAACATCCCTCTCTATGACCATCACCTCTTCTTTTTCCAGCTCACTCCCTTTGGTATCCAGACCCCACTATCCTTCAACCTCACCAGAATCTCCAGTCCTTTGGTCCTACCATATTTTCACCATCTCTTACTCCCTTAATGCCTTCTCTCCCCTCCTTCCCTAGTTCAAATGCCATGGCCAGTCTTTATAGTCACTCATTTACATATACCCTTCACTCTCCTGCTCCTTTCTCAGTTTGTATTGCTTCCCTGGCAAAATCATTACTCTGGCTAAGTCCAAATACACTTCAAGAAGCCTAAACCCACACAGCTAAACCTAGCTGGAGGAAAATACACAACCACATGACTAATTTCAGTTTGAATTCATGACCACAAATGTCAATCAGGCCCTTACTGCTACCAAGCAATCACTCTATAGATACCCAGTCCCTTACTTCCAACACCACTTCAACATCCCAATTCTTCACGTGCTCCTTATTTCACTAGAAAATTTAAACCATAATTCCACAGACACCTATTACCATAATGCTTAACTCACCAGCACCTGCATCTGTATATATGGCCTTCCTGTTGATATCATATATGATTGTTTTGGGCTGAATTATATCCCCCAAAATCCAAATGTTGAAATCCTAAACTCCAGTACCTCAGAAAGTGACTCTACCTCTTTTAAAAAGTAATTAAGGTGAAATGAGGTCATATAGGTAAACCCTATTCCAATATGACTGGTATCTCCCTAAGAAGAGATTAGGGCACAGATAACACAGACTGAAAACACAGGGACAAGTCCTAATAGCCAAGGAGAGAGGTCTCACCACAAACCAAACATGCAGATATCTTGATCTCAGACCTCTGGCCTCTGTAATTGTGAGAAAATTAATTTATTTCATTTAGCGGCACCTGGATGGCACAGTTGATTGAATGGCTGACTCTTGGTTTTGGCTCATGATCTCAGGGTCCTGGGATCGAGCCCTGAGTTGGGCTTCATGCTCAGCACAGAGTCTGCTTGAGACTCTTTCTCCCTCTCACTCTGCACCTTCCCCCTGCTCTCTCTCTTTCTCTCTCCCTCAAATAAATAAATACAATCTTTAAAAAAAAAAAAATTCTGTTGTTTAAACCACCCGGTCTGTGGTACTTTGTTTTGCCAGCCCTAGCAAACTAATAGAATATTTCCAGATTCTCCTCTAAAGCCAGCCCCTCTCTTTTCCCACTACATTTCTTTCTCTCACACCAATTCAACAATACCACTACCATCTTTCTCCCCTTTATCTCCAACATCATCAATGTTGTGCTCTATATTAGGTCATTTCTATCAGGATACAATCACGCTATTATTTCTTATCTTCACATATATACATTTTCATCATTATATATGCATTATTTTGTATATACGTTCTCTTGACTCCACTCCCCCACCTGCTCTCACCCCATTTCTTTGCTCCCTTTTGATGCAAATCTCTTTTACAGATATACCTGATATACATTTCCATGTGCAATATTTGAAGGCATTGTTTGAACCAATGTTCCTGGTCTAAGACTGAATTCCTCATTCTACCTACATCAATCTGGTGTCAAGAGGGAACCCCAGATGACCATCCTTTCCTAGCCCACTACTCTCTCTGCCTGTTCTCCACCTCACTCAGTCTGTTCCAGCTATTGCCTCTCTACTGTTCCTCAAACAAGCCACACTCACTGTTGCCTAGGGCCTTTTTAATGTCTGTTCCATCTGTCAGGAATGTTCTTCCCCCAGATATCCACTTGGACTACTCCATCATTCCTTTGTAATTGTTGTATCTATTTACTGTTACAATTTTTCACCTACTATTCTCCCTTGAACACATTCCAATCAGGGGTCCACCTCCACTACTCTACTGAAATTTATCTTGTCAAGGTCATGAATAATATCCACATTGTTCAACCCAATGTTTGGTTCTTAATCCTTGTCTTACTTGACCTATCAGCAGCATTTGGCACAGCTGATGAGCCCCTCCTCCTTGGTTCACGGTCTTCACTTGGCTTCCAGGACCCCACACTCTCCTGTTCTCCTCTAATCTCACTGGCTGCTCCTTCTCAGTCTTCTTTACTGGCTTCGTCTCTCCTCAAAGACCTCTTAAAACGAGAGTGCCTCCAGGCAAGGTCCCAAATTCTCTTCTTTTTTTTTTCTTGTTTATTAATTCATTTATTTTTATTGAGTTATAATTGACATTTAAAAATGTATTAGTTTTAGGTGTACAATATAATGATTTGATATATGTATATATTGTGGAGTGATTACCATAATAAATTTAGTTAACATCCATCACTACACATAGTTATGCATTTTTTCCTTTGTGGTGAAAACTTTTACAGTTTACTCTCTTAGCAACTTTCAAATACATATACAATACAGTATTGTTAACTATAGCCACAGTGCTGTACATTACATCCCCAGGACTTAATTTTCTTATTTTTTTAATTTAAATTCAGTTAATTAACATATAATGTATTATTTGTTTCAGGGGTACAGGTCTGTGATTCATCAGGCTTATATAATACACAGTGCTCATTGCAACACATACCCTCCCCAATGTCCATCACCCAGTTATCCCATCACCCCTCCCTCCTCCCCTCCAACAACCCTCAGTTTGTTTCCTAAGATTAAGAGTCTCTTATGGTTTGTCTCCCTCTCTGCTTTTGTCTTGTTTCATTTTTTCCTCTCTTCCCCTATGATCCTCTGCCTTGTTTCTTAAATTCCACATATCAGTGAGATCATATGA